ATTTTTCTGAACGAAACTAGGTCCGATTACGACTCGTTTTTTGTGTAGCGCGCGGAAACGGAAATTAATTCTTTATGAGTTAATTTCTTAGAAGAACTCTCTCTATTTCTTCACATATTCCGCCAAAACGAAGTTTTTACCTTTCTCCACTCGAAAGGAAAAGGAGAAAACAAATTTAGTAACGGCAAAACAGCCGTTACACCCCCGTCAGGAATCGATCTCGGCTTCCAACCGATCAAGCTCAAAATTTTTTGGATGTCAGTCATGCCTAGGAGGGATTATCATCAAAGTTTTGCGTTCGGGAGTTAGAAGATCTGGGCTAGTGAAAAAGTAGGGTCTAGTTAGGAACATGCACCGCGCTTCGTCGACTATCTGAAGCCCCCAGAAGAATTTGGTGCGTAGAAAACACTTAAATGAAGCGATTGTCGAAGCGTTTTTGAAACAGACCAAAATCTGAGACAAGTAGAATTTTCTGGGAGAAATGGCCCCACATATTAGTGAAATGATCAAAATCTGACTAAGAAGGACCAAAATCTTGGCAAAATGGACCAAAATCTCAGTAAAATAGACCGAAACCTGAGAGAAATGGCCGAAAAAATATGAAATGTATAGTATATAGGCAACTTATTATGCTCTATCAACTGAACTATATATAACAAAATTATGAAGAAAATTAATTTGTTTGATCTCAGTTCCAGTTTATATAATTAGTTTTTACGATTTAAATAAAAAGTACCAGAGAAAAGATGATCTTTAAAAAAATTTATTTTTCGATCATTCTGTGGAGAACCAAAGATCTTTTCGATTGAAAACTGATGTTTCAATAACAACGTGAAATATATGTTATTTGACTGTATTTTTAACGTAAATTTCATATTTATCTATACTGAAAAATTTGTTTCGATATCAAAATCTACTGAAAACTGAAATTCTGGCAGTATTTTTTATTATTGATCATAGTACAAATCGTTTTCATGGTTTTATTGTAGTTCAATTGATAGAATAATTCGAAAATATCTCTGCTCAGGTCTTTTCCGTTACCGAGATAAGAGCCATTGCTTCCTAGAAACTGACTCTTATTTATTGCTCCGCAGGCAAGATTTTTTGGTGATTACTACTGATTTTTTCACGATTTCTACCAAAGAGAAGTAAGCTAGCAACATGTCTCTAAACCGAACGAGGAAAAAGCGACTTGCGAATCTTCGGATCCTAGTTAGGGGTGCCAGGGTTTCCTTTCCTTAGAATTCCGTTATCAAAGAACGGAAATTCACTTGACAATGCATTTCTATGGGTCGCCGAACACGCTGCAGTGTTTAGACATATTTTGTGAAACACGAGCTAGAGGGTGTGGTTGTGGATGTGGCGTAAAAGAGATCAACACTCACACCCTCTAGGCTAGAGGCTCTAGTTTAAGGAACTACATCAGTGCTATTTATAAAGTCAAGTGGTTTTAGTAGCAGATGGAAATGAATATCAATCTTCCGGTTGTAAAAGGGAATTTGATGATGTCTTTTTGAATTTGGGTGTTCATTAAAGTCACTCAAACGTAATAAATATGCGAACTTTTATTTTTGTAGAATGTCCGTTTCAATAGAAAATTGCAAAAGACATGTTTTCGCCAGCTTTCTTCGAGCAATTGATTCTATTGCGCAACCGGATAGCAATTATGTGCCTACAAAAGACGATTTATATAATAATATTAAAAATTTGTTGAATGGAATTTTCCCCCCAAAAAATCGCGATCAAGTTGTCCGTCATGGTCTGAAAACATCCCTCGACTACGTCGTTTCAGTCTTGTCTTTTGAAATCACTAAAGCTGGAACTCTGCACAAAGGTCGTTTAAGTACACAAGCAGTGGAAAAAGTATTTAGCTGCAAAGTTCATCAAGGTGGACGCACTGTGGTTGCAGACAACAATGAAATTACAGATCCAGGTGCTCTATCAGCAATCTCTAATAGTTTATCAGCGTTTCCTTCTTACTATGACAGCTTCAGTGATCTTCTATTGGATCCAAAGTACGACCGAAAAGTTCGAATAAAATTTGATTCAAGTGTAAAACGTTATTTAAAAGAAGAAGACAACACGGTTATTGATTATGTAATGGCAGAACCAATTGAAAGATGGTGGAGTCTTTACTGCACAGGCGACAAAACTCACATTGAAGAATGTCGTTCCTGGCTTTGGCGTTTACTAGCAGCAACACTTCTTCTAATTTGGTACAGAATTCATCGTAAAATTGATAATCAGTTATGGAGTTATTGGTACCGAATTTTAATAACAGCCGCCGCATGTTGTGTTGTACTTGATGCCTACCATCGAAAATGTGATTCCATATCAGGTGTAAAACATATATTATCAGAAGATTACAAGTTCAATGACAGCACTGTATTAATAAATTTTAGCAAGCTAGAAAACGAAACCTTTGAGCAAGACGAAGTCATCGAAAGAAAAAATATCGAACGAGCTATCTGCTTATACCATGAAGTTGATGAAACTAACACAGAAGGCGTCGAAGAAACATGTCAACTGTTAGGAGGTTTGCCACTATCAACGAGTACGCCTGTGACACAGAGTAAGTGAGCATTTTAGCTATTTCTCAGTTCAAAATATTAAATGTATAAAATGATAATATGAATAAAGTATAAAGTATAAACTACAAACAAGAAATACAGAAGCACGAGGTCTAACTGTGCAAAAAAGAAGACCAGCGAGCATATAGAATAGAGTGTGAATATATATATACTACTGTACCAAAATATCGAGGTCGAATAACTAAACTGTATATGTGGCAACAGAAAAAGACAAAAAAAAAAGACTCCCATACTTCCTTCTCTGTTAGAAACCTAGGGAGAAGGAGTAGTTCACAAGGTAAAAAATACAGTACATTTCCCTATAAATGGGAGAGGGAGAATTTCCATACGCTAGAGAATACGTTTTCTTAGAAACCAGTAGCAACAGAGGCGGGTTCACTAAAGCTTAGTGAGTACATTTATATAGCAAAGGAAGAGACAGGAATCAATAGGTACGCTTCTCTCACAAAAAGATAGGGCGTGCCAGTAATAACAACACTTAGGACATTTTGGACTATCTAGAATCCTCCAAAGCATTCTATGAATCTTACGTTTCTATAATACATTCTAACTAGTCTGAGTTTTTCTGGCTTTGTCGTACTCTAAAAAAAAAGAGTTTTGCATAACATTTTCCTAGATTCTGTTACACTGAAAAAAAAACGTGTCACACGAAACCTGTTCGTGGGATTTTACAATATACTGTAAGGTATCGTAGGAGGGCACGAAATCTTTTGAAGGTTTCGGAAACTTATACGTTCCGTAAAATAATCCTTCTGGATTTTCGGAGCCAAAAAGGTTTCGTAGACAAAAGGTTTCGTACTAAACTATTTCATCTATGTTACAGCAAGAAGTTCATCAATCAAAACGCTCATTGATCTGAATTGCTTTATGGTTTATCCACTTACCAATCACTTTTTAATCAAGTTTAGATATTTTCTTATTGCTTTTTGAGTTCGTATATTTCAACACTGAGCTTCGTCGTGGAAGAATAGAGAAGGCTATCTTAAAGCTGCAATGACCTTTAAAATTTCGTAGAAAGAAACATACAAACAACCCGTTCAACACGCTTCTGTGTACCAATATCCTGAATCACTATACTGATGACTTTCGTTGTAATTTTCCCAATGTCTATTCTTTTAACTAATTCACGATCCAATCACTGCTCTTTATCGTAGCCTAAACACGATTCCTTAATAATTTTTTTCTTCATATCGTTATTTTTACATGTCAATTTGTATTGCTCGAGATTGAATTACTTTAAAATAATACAACACTTGCTCACTGACGAACCAACTGAGACAATGACAGTATAGAAAGAGAAATACATATAGATATCGAAGCACAAGCATATGTATAATCGGTCAACATAGACTTAAGTCAATAGCGACAGATATAGAAGACTGAGCAAGATGTATACCTTCAGCAATAGGAATACGTGGATATGTAGAAATACAGAGCGTAAGAAGAGATATATTTCTAAGCAATCAGACACAGTTCAAAAGCTTCCGCAGTAAACATAAGGGTTAACACATACATACAGGCATTCCACATCGCCACAACGAGTCCGATAAACATATAAGGCTTAATAATATTTTTCAGAGTTAACGCATACACTTAAGGTTTTACACGTTGCTTTTAGAGATTCGAGATACACATAAGGCGTCAGAAATATATTCAAGGGATTACTAATAGGTTTAATGGCTAGCAACCATATATAACGGATTAGACATAGTTTTAAAGATTAAGGCATAGTTATCAAATCAAATCAAATTTATTTCATGTCCTGGATGTTAAATTGACAATGGTACTGACAGAAAGTTAAATGAGAAAGTTTGACTAGGTCAGCACCATGAACGAAAGAGATAAAAAGAAATAAGGAAAAGAGATGGCTTAGGAACAACAATGCAGTTACAATAAACAGAGATGTTTACATAAAGCACCTCTGAATGATCGAGCAGCGAAGGCAGCGGTTATCTCTCTAGGTAGAGCATTCCATTGGAGTGTAATTCGAGGCAGAACAGATGACTTCGTAGTTTTTCGTTTAAATTTTGGTATCTGCCAAAGATATTTATTTGAAGTTCGTGTTGAGGTTCTAGGAGTCAGTGGTTTTATTAATGAAAATGAAGCGAGTGCAGTTCGACCAGTAATAATCTTATGAAAAAACATTAATCTAAAGTATTTCCTCCGATTCTCCAAATTTGGTAGTTTAAGTTTATTAATAAGTACAGAACTACTCGTGGAGAAGTTATTAGCGATCATTCGTGCAGCAAGCTTATGTACAGATGTTAGTAGATCAAGGTGCGTCTTAAAGTCGTTGTCAAAGACAATGCAACAATAGTCCATTACTGGTAATATACACGTTTTGTAAATATGGAGACGTATGAACTCTGGCGCACACCTGAAAACTCTGTTCATCGCTCCTAGCATTTGTCTACATCTTTTACTGATATTTTCTAGATGATACTTCTAGGTCAAATCTGGTGACAGATACACGCCTAACAATTTAATGTTTTTATCTAATAAAAGCGGTTTCCCAGAAACATAAAGTTGAGGATATTGATCAGGAAGTTTAAGACTGGAAAATGGCATATAAAAACATTTTTCTGTATTTAAATCGATGTCATTTTTTACACACCAATCAGACATGATATCTAAGAACTTTTGAACTTCTGAGAGATCGTTAAAATTTTGAAGAGGAATTAAACCAAAAACATCGTCAGCAAAAAGCGATGCTGTTACTGCAGAAGGAAATTTCTCATTCAAATCGTTTATGAAAATCAAGAAAAGTAAAGGATCAAGGACGCTCCCTTGAGGCACGCCAGACGTAACTTTTGCTGCTTTAGATTTCTTATTATTGATTACTATAATTTGCTCTTTGTCCGATAAATACGAGTGAAGCCATTCAAAAAGACTACCGGACTTGTGCTCTACTTAACTTTTCTAATAATACTCGATGACTAACTCTATCAAACGCTTTAGCAAAATCAAACGCAACTCCTAATGCTACCCTTTTTCCTTCTAGAATTTTTGTTAGTTGAGTTGTAACATGCAATAACGCATCAGGTGTGGATGAAATAGCTCGAAAACCAAATTGCGTTGGTATGAAAAAACTAGTTTTATTTAGATGTTTGCTGGAGATTTATATACCAGTAACTCAAAAATTTTACTTATGTTTGATAGTAAAGGCATTGATCTGTAGTTAGAACATTGACTACGCGACCCTTTCTTGTGTATAGCTCTTATTACGGCTTTCTTCCATGTTTTCGGAGAAACTCCTTTTTTAATTGAAGAATGAAATAAATGATGGAGTTGAGGTGAGATCACATCAGAGCAGAGCTTCAAGAATTTAATATGAATACCGTCGATGCCTACACAGTTTTTATTTTTTAATTCCTCGATCATACTGTTAACGTCAGAAACTGTCAATGTAAGTTATAAGGGGTTAGTAATAGTTGTAAGGGTTAAAGGTATAGTTAAAAGGCATAGTAATAGTTTTAAGAGGTAAGGCGTAGATTTAAAGATTCAGGCATAAGAGGAACGGGTTAGGTATACGTGTAGAGTAAAATTGGTCGTACTTATAGGTCAATAGATATTGAAGTTGAATGGAAGTGCATGAATTGGG